ACACAGTAGAAGGAATCCAAAGCAGGCTGGATGAAGCTGAGGATCGAATCAGTGAGATGGAGGACAAGGTAGAAAAAAGCTCCCAGAAAGAACAAGAAATGGAAAAACGGCTCAAAAAGAATGAAGAAGCATTTAGGGAAATGCAGGACAACCTGAAACGCAATAATATCCGTATAATAGGGATACCAGAAGGAGAAGAGGAGGAGCAAGGAATAGAGAACCTCCTCGAAAAAGTAATGATGGAAAATTTCCCTAATTTGAGGAGAGAAAGGCTCTCATGGATCCAGGAGGCACAGAGGACCCCACTCAAGAGGGACCCAAGGAGGTCCACTCGAAGACACATCATCATTAAAATGGCAAATGTCAAAGACAAAGAGAGAATCCTCAAGGCAGCAAGGGAGAAGGAGAAAGTAACATACAAGGGGGCCCTGATACGCCTAGGAGCTGACTTCTCAACAGAAACACTACAAGCCAGAAGGGAATGGCAACAAATATTCCAAGCCATGAAAAGCAAGGGCCTACAGCCAAGGCTGCTCTACCCAGCTAGGCTCTCCATTAAAATACAAGGGGAAATACGGACTTTCCCAGACAAAAGAAAGCTAAAAGAATACATCTCTACCAAACCAGCACTCCAAGATATGCTAAGGGGACTGGTTTAAGCAGATGAAGGAAAAGAATGAGACAGAGAGGAACACAAGTACAAAGAGAAAAGATGAGTAAGTTTCTATCAGTAATATCTCTCAATGTGAATGGACTAAATGCCCCAATCAAAAGACACAGGGTAGCTGAATGGATAAGAAAACATAACCCACACATATGCTGCCTACAAGAGACCCACCTCAGAGCAAAAGACCTACACAGATTGAAAGTAAAGGGATGGAAAATAATATTCTAAGAAAATGGACATACGAAAAAGGCTGGCGTTGCCGTACTTGTATCAGACAAAGTAGATTTCAAAGCAAAGGCCATAAAGAGAGATCCAGAGGGGCACTTTATCATACTTAAAGGAAGAATCTATCAAGAAGACATCAACATTGTAAACTTATATGCTCCCAATATAGGAGCCCCCAAGTTTATAAGGAAATTGTTGGATGACTTCAAAAAATATATAGACAGCAACACACTGATAGTAGGGGATTTCAACACCCCACTGTCAAAAATGGACAGATCTTCCAAACAAAACATTAATAAACATATCGTGGCGCTGAATGACACACTGAATCAAAGAGACTTAACTGACATATATAGAACCTTACATCCCAAAGAAGAAAAATACACATTCTTTTCAAATGCTCATGGCGGTTTTTCAAAGATAGACCACATGATAGGACACAAAGCAAGCCTCAGTAAATTCAGGAAAATTGAAATAATACCAAACTTTTTCTCGGACCACAAGGCCTTGAAACTCGAAATCAACCTCAAAGAGAAACTTCAAAAACTTGCAAACTCATGGAGACTGAACAGTACACTATTAAACAATGAATGGGTCAATAATGAGATAAGAGAAGAAATCAAAAAATTTCTGGAAACAAATGAAAATGAACAGACAACTGTCCAAAACCTATGGGACACAGCAAAGGCGGTCCTGAGAGGGAAGTTCATAGCAATACAGGCTTACCTTAAAAAGATAGAAACATTTCAAATAAAAGACCTACCACTACAACTTCAAGAACTGGAGAAACAACAACAAATAAATCCCAGAGCAAGTAGAAGGAAGGAAATAGTCAAGATTAGAGCAGAACTGAATGACATAGAGACAAAAAGAACAATTCAGAGGATCAACCAATCCAGAAGCTGGTTCTTTGAAAAGATAAATAAAGTTGACAAGCCTTTAAGCAGACTCATCAAGAAAAAAAGGGAGAGGGCCCCAATTAATAATATCAGAAATGAAAGAGGAGAAATAACAACTGATACCACAGAAATACAAATGATCATCAGAAACTATTATGAACAATTATATGCCAAGAAATTTGAAAATCTTGATGAAATGGACAAATTTTTAGAAAAGTATAATCTTCCAACACTGAAGGAGGAAGAAACAGAAAGCTTGAACAGACCGATAACAGTTGGGGAAATTGAAGCAGTAATCAAGAAACTCCCAGCACACAAAAGCCCAGGGCCAGGCGGTTTCCCAGGAGAATTTTACAAAACATTTAAGGAAGAGCTAACCCCTGTCCTTCTCAGACTATTCCAAAAAATCCAAGAGGAGGGAAGACTCCCAGACTCCTTCTATGAGGCCAGCATCACCCTGATCCCAAAACCAGATAAAGACCCTACAAAGAAAGAAAACTACAGGCCCATTTCGCTGATGAACATAGATGCTAAAATCCTCAACAAAATATTGGCAAACCGCATCCAGCAATACATTCAAAAGATTATCCATCACGATCAAGTGGGATTCATCCCAGGGATGCAAGGATGGTTCAATATATGCAAATCAGTAAACGTGATACACCACATAAATCAAAGAAAAGACAAAAACCACATGATCATCTCGATAGATGCAGAAAAAGCATTTGACAAGGTACAGCACCCATTTGTGATCAAAACACTCAGCAAAATGGGAATCAATGGGGCATTCCTCAACGTAATAAAGGCCATATATGAAAAACCTACAGCCAATATCATACTCAACGGGCAAAAACTGAAAGCTTTCCCACTAAGATCGGGAACATGACAAGGATGTCCGCTCTCACCGCTTCTTTTCAACATCGTATTGGAAGTCTTAGCCACAGTGGTCAGACAAGAGAAAGAGATAAAAGGCATCCAAATAGGAAAGGTGGAAGTAAAAATATCATTGTTTGCAGATGACATGATAGTGTACATAGAGAACCCTGTAGACTCTACCAAAAAACTCCTCAACCTAATAAGTGAATTTGGCAAAACAGCAGGATACAAAGTCAACATTCAGAAATCAAAGGCGTTTTTGTACACCAGCAATGAAATAGAAGAAGAAGAAATCAGGAAAAATATACCATTCGATATAGCACGAAAAAAGATAAAGTACCTAGGGATAAATTTAACCAAAGACACAAAAGACCTGTATGCAGAAAACTATACAACATTGAAAAAAGAAATTAAGGAAGACACAAATAAATGGAAGCATATACCGTGCTCATGGATTGGAAGAATTAATATCCTCAAAATGTCCATACTACCCAAAGCAATTTATAGATTCAACGCAATCCCTATTAAGATACCAATGACGTATTTCACAGAAATAGAACAGACATTTCAAAAATTTATATGGAACCATAAACGACCTCGAATAGCCGCAGCAATTTTGAGAAACACAAAGTAGGAGGGATCACAATACCGGACATCAAACTCTACTACAAAGCCACTATACTCAAAACAATCTGGTACTGGCACAAGAACAGACCCATAGACCAGTGGAACAGAAGAGAAAGCCCAGAAATAAGCCCAGGTCTCTATGGACATCTAATATTCGACAAAGGGGGCAGAAGCATAAAATGGAGCAATAACAGCCTCTTCAACAAATGGTGTTGGGAGAGCTGGATGGCTACATGCAAAAAATTGAAACTAGATCATCAGCTGACACCATACACAAAAATAAACTCGTGATGGTTAAAAGACTTAAATATAAGTCGCAACACCATCAAAGTCCTAGAGGAGAACATTGGCAGGAAACTCTCAGATATCCCACGCAGCAATTTTTTCACTGATATGTCTCCTAAAGCAAGGGACATAAAGGAAAGAATAAACAAGTGGGACCTCATCAAAATAAGAAGCTTCTGCACGGCGAAAGAAAACATCAGCAAAATGAAAAGGGAGCCAACTGTTTGGGAAAATATATTTGCTAATGATACATCAGATAGAGGTTTGATCTCCAAGATATACAAAGAACTCACTCGAACTTTACTCCAAGAAGACAAACAATCCAATCAAAAAATAGGCAAAGGACCTGGGCAGATGCTTTTTTAAGGAGGAGATACAGAGGGCCCAGAGGCATTTGAAAGGATGCTCTGCATCACTAGCCATCAGAGAAATGCAGATCAAAACCACCATGAGGTACCACCTCACACCGGTCAGAATGGCCATCATAAACAGATCCACAAACAACAGGTGCTGGCGAGGCTGTGGAGAAAAGGGAACCCTAGTACACTGTTGGTGGGAATGCAGACTGGTGCAGCCACTATGGAAAGCAGTGTGGAATTTCCTCAGAAAGCTGAAAATGGAACTGCCTTTTGATCCAGCGATTCCCCTGCTGGGACTATACCCTGAGAACACCAACACGCCAATACAAAAGAACCTATGCACCCCAATGTTCATAGCAGCACAATTTACAATAGCCAAGTGTTGGAAGCAACCTAAATGCCCATCAGTAGATGACTGGATCAAAAAATTATGGTACATATACACAATGGAATACTATGCAGCAGAAAGAAAAAAGAAGTACTAAACTTTGCGACAGCATGGACGGAACTGGAGAGCATCATGCTAAGCGAAATAAGCCAGGGGGCGAAAGACAAATACCATATGATCTCACCTATAAGCGGAACCTAACCAACAATGCAAAGAAGCAAGGAAAATATGACCAGCAACACTGAAAGGAAAAGAGATCAACAGAGACAAGAGGGAAGAGGGGGGCAGGGAAAGGGAAGGGAAGGGGAAAGTCAAGGAACATATAGCAAGGACTCATGGACAAAACCAAAGGGGAAGAGCTGAGGGAGGGAAGGTGGGAGGGGGCAAGGGAAAGAGGTGGGGGGAAGGCAGAGACAAATGTATTTAAAAAGTAAATAAATTAATTAAAAAAAAATAAAAAAATAAAAATAAAAATAAAAATCATTCAGCTAAAAAAAAAAATTGAAGCTGAGATTGGTCAATTTCAAATATTTGCTTTCTTGTCAAATATAAATTTTCATATTAACTATAAAAGTCATTTAATAAAATTATATCTCTAGATATAGAATAGCCAACATCTGTTACCATGAAGCCTGCATAAATAAATAAGTAAATAAATAAATAAATAAAATTACCTGCGATTGGATAAGAGAATTTGGAAATTCAAACCTTTTCCGGATATCATCTGACATTTTTGCTTCTCTTACATGTAGGTATGCAGATTCTGTAACCAAAACAAAAAAAAATATTTGTTAATTGGAAAAGGAGTCCAATTATTCCTCAGATACCATGAAAGTAATTCATTCCAAAATCAAAAATGGAAATGAAGCACAGTAAGATACCATTACTCTGGAGCCCTCTGCAGAGCAATCCTTGGCATACACTTCATTGTTAACAACTTCAGTCCTCAAATGTCATGACTGATAAGCCAAAATGCCCAAAAGCTCTTTGTTTTTCCCATTAGAGCTAATTCAGAAACTGGTGAACCACCCTAAAGAAAAAATCCAAAAATTTTAGCCTATAAACAGGACTCTTCAAGTTCAAGTTCAACAGCATGTTTGAAATAGACAGTAATTGTTTTATCAATCAAAACTTCTAAGGGAGAAATAATCACCTTTCAAAAAATTGTTTAAACTATGCTTTGCTTTTGAACAAACCTTTCATTTAAACACTAATCCAACCACTAGTGACAACTATAAAGCCTAGGTGAACTTTCTTCAGGTAGTCGAGAAATGACCTAGAAATTCACACATCCAAACAGATTGGCTGTCTACTAAAAGAGGAACCAGCAAACAATTAGCAACTAATTTTAATATTTACATCACACCTCTCATTCCTACTGGGGTCTCCAAAAACATACAAAAAACAAAACAAAAAAAAACCCAAAAACATGCAAAAGGATGAAGGAGGGTAGGTGAGAAATCCGAGGCATAGAACTAATAAGGATTTCCTCAGGATCCCAATTTAGCCATTTCCCATGCAGCACTGAACCCACCAAATTACACTATTTTGAAAAAGAGAAGCTTTAGGTCACCTATTTATTACATTATGACTTTCAAAAAAATTATGTCACTATAGTACTTCAGGTTAAATAACAGGTTGTAAAAACAAGCTCTCCTGATCTGAAAATTGAAGGTACCTTGTGTTGAACTTGCAGCTCTTTCTAACCACTTTCCTCCCTTTCTTCAAAAGCTAACCTCCCTGTATAAATAATTTATCCCAGCTTTCTTCTTAACATCTAGGCCTTACTTTACTCCCTTGAATTTGATATTTCACAGCACTGGAACTTGTTCTAAGACTGCAAATGATATTCCTTATATAAATCTACTCTTTAGCTTAAGCAGGTCAAAATTTCAACTTCCCAGTTGTATATCTCAACTTTCTTGAAGTTTGCCTCTCTTTTGAATTCATAAGACATCATAACAGAATTTCCCAAAGTGTGTCCTTGGGAAACCCACAATAAAGAGATCACCATGAGGAGAAAAAAGGATATACTGCCATCTTGAAGATTTCATTCACTCACTAAACAAACACTTGCTTAACCAAATGCCTATTGTGTGTTAGAAACTTTTCTAACTTAGGCTACCTCAGTGAACAAAATAGACAAAATCCCTACACTCATGGAGCTTATAGTCTATCAGGAAGAGGTAGACAGTAAATATAAAAAATAATTAATAAATATAGCATGTTAAAAAGTGATAAGTGCTATGGAGACAAAGGTAACACAATAAAGTAGATAAAGGGATGAAAAATGAGGGAAGGACAAACTTTCTATTTTAAATATGGTGGTCAGTGTTGGTCTTTTCTAGAGAGTAGCACTTAGGAATTGTTAGCCATAAAGATATTTCTGGAAACTGTCAAAGCACAGAAAACTGAGTGCAAAAGCCTTTAGCTAAGGGCTTTTTTTAAGATCTGTTCCAGAAAAAGCAGAGATGAATCAGGCACAGAATACAGGAGGAAGAGAATAGTAAATCAGAGAGTCAATGAGAAGTCAGATCATAAAAGGCCTTGTAGGCTACTGGAAGGACTGATGCATTTATCCTAAGTGAAATAGGAAACTACTATGGGGGAGGGGGAAGATTGTAAGATTATAATAGAATCACTAGAAGTAATCTGATTCTGGATATCTTTGAAGGGAAAGCCAATGTGGCTGCTAAAGAATTAAGTAACAGTATAGAAGAAAGAAAGGGTCAAGGATGACTCCAAGTTTTTGGACCAGAACAACTTTATTTTTAATCTCCTTTCCTTTGCAAACTTTCCACATTAAGCAAAACAGTTTAAATATTAATTATCAAGGCATTTTTTAAAGAAGAAAAATATGCAGTTGCCATCAACTGAAATAGGAAGTTTTGTGGGGGGCCGACCAGGAATTCATTTGAAACAGGTAAGTTTTAGAGCCCTAATATATATCCAAGTGGAGATGGCAAGTGGAAACTTGTATATATAACTCTATAGTTGGAGAGACAGATATAAAGATAGTGCATATTATTAAAGAATCTGAGAAGTTCTAGAGGAAATTTGATTAACTTTGCTTAACCCAGAGTTTCCCAAATGTATCTGATTATAGCACCCTTTTTTTCTAGAAATTCATGTTAATGTTCTATACAACCAGCCTTTCCTGAGAGCCACGTTGGGAAACACTGCTCTACCAATTCCTCCTATTCCTCTGCCCTCTCTGCTTCTTGAGTTCCACCTTCCTTCCTTAAGGCACCCCAAGTCTCTTATCTGTGTTTTCTTCCTTTACGTAAACTCTCCCAGCGTCTTCATCTAGTCTGTATCTCCAAACACTTACCTGCTCTCTCTTACATAGCTCTGAACATCAGAAATTAGAGATGTCAATACCAAAACACATCCTTTCTCTCACAAAAAATGTTACTGGACTTCCAGAAAAAAGGGAGGTGTAGGTAAACATGGCTCATCTCCATGAACAACCACATCAAAATTACAACTGAACTATAGAACAGCAATCACTCAAAACCATCAGATTGAGTTGAATGGAAGTCCAACAACTATGGAATTAAAGAAACCACACCCATTCAGACTCTTAAGAGGGGCAGAGATATGGAATGTGCATTTGGTGGATAAAAATTCGGGAGGGATATCGCAGGAGTGAGTAGTCTCAGCCCGACATGAAGCCCCACACCCCAGGGTTCCAGTGCCAGGAAGATAAGTCTCAACAACTTCTGGCTACAAAAACCAGTGGGATTGAATGAGTGGAAGAAAATTGTGGAGTCCCAAGCAGTTCCTCTTAAAGAACCCACAAGTGGACTTACTCAGACTTACTCCCTCTGAGCTCCAGTACCAGGGTAGCAGCTTGAAAGGCAACAATGGCATACAGGGAGGAAGGGAAGTGTCTGGCATCAAGGCTAGAACTAGAGACAGCTTTCTCCCAGTCAGAAAGGTGGGCAGAGGCTATTGCCCCTTCTCTGAACCCTCCACCTACAAAGCCACAGAGCTGTCAGGCACATTCTGTATCTGACACTCCATCAACCTGGCTAACAGTGTTTGCCCCACCCTGGAGATGCCATAAGTCTCTATCCTACCCAACTTATGGGGCCCACTCAATCTGTTAACAGTGACTTTTCCAAATGAACACTGGTCTTGGCTCATGCTTCACAACTTCCTAAATCCTCTCAAACAAGACACAGCCAGCCTCAGTGAGCCCAAGTCCCTGTACCTCTTGCTAAATGTTCCCAAGCCCCTCACTAGCAGCAACCAGTCTAGATTCACAGCTTGGCTTTGCCTGGGACTCTCCAAGCCCAGCACAAGTAGTAGCCATCTGCAGTTGCTTTGGAGTTCATGCAAGGTGGCCTCAGGCAGAACACAGCTGGGGGTTGACCTTGGCTTGCACTATAAGCCAAGAGCCTGCACACCCAATGAACAGCTACAGGCCACATTGTAGCACCACTACCTTGCCCCTGCACAGCTAATTCTCCATGGAGGGCAGATGTTGGTGGTCAGTGGTCACAGCCAGTCCTTGTAACTGACTGGCCTGAGTAAATCCCTCCCATTGACCTGCCAACAACAATCAAGGCTCAACTACAAGAGGATGGTGTACTCAGACCAAATAGAGGGCATACCTCGAGTACCCAGCTTGGGTAGTAGGGGAGGCTGTGCCACTGGACCCTACACAACACCTATTACATTTGCTCCCCTACTACATTTGCACACTACCAAGACAAGGAGTAGCTCTTTTGTCTTGCTCTACCTAATACATAGAAACAAACACAGGGAGGCTACCAAAATGAAGATACAAAGAAACATGGCCCAAATGAAACAACAGATCAAAACTCCAGAAAAAGAACTAAACAAAATGGAGATAAATAATCTATCAAATGCAGAGTTAAAAACACTCCTTAAAAGGATGTTCAAGGAACTTAGAGAGGACCTCAACAGCATAAAAAAGATCCAGTCAGAAACAAAGGATACACTAATTGAAATTAAGAACAATTTACAGGGAAACAACAGTAGAGTGGAAGAAGCCGAGAATCAAATAATGATTTGGAACATAAAGAAGCAAAAAAACAACCAATCAGAACAAGAAGAAAAGAGAATCCAAAAAAAAAAAAAAAAATGAGGATAGTGTAAGGAGCCTGTGGGACAACTTCAACTGTTCCTACATTCACATCATCAGAGTTCCAGAAGAAGTACAGAAAGAACAAGAAACTGGATATCTATTTGAAAAAATAATGAAAGAAAACTTCCCTAATTTGGTGAAGGAAATAGACATGCAAGTCCAGGAAATGCAGAGAGTCCCAAATAAAATGGATGCAAAGAGACTCACTCCAAGACACATCATAATTAAAAGGCCAAAGGTTAAAGATAAAGAGAGAATCTTAAAAGCATCAAGAAAAAAAGCAGTTAGTTACCTAGAGGGGAGTTCCCATAGACTATCAGCTGACTTCTCAAAAGAAACTTTGCAGGCTAGAAGGCATTGGCAAGAAATATTCAAAGTCATGAAAAACAGGGACCAACAGGCAAGACTGCTCTACCAGCAAAGCTATCATTTAGAATCAAAGAGCAGACAAAGAGCTTCCCAGACAAAAAAGGAGTTTATCATCACCAAACCATTATTATATGAAATATAAAGGAACTTATTTAAGAAAACAAGGATCAAAACAAGGAACAATAAAATGGCAATAAATACATATCTATAAACAATTGAATCTAAAAACAAAGTAAAGTGAAAAAGAGGAACAGAGACAGAATCATGAATAGAGAGAA